TTGATGCTGCTTCAGCTTTATGGTTGTGTCTGTAGATGAATAGGATGCAGTCAATTTGAAGCGCTGCACAACTCTTAAGTTAAAATCATGTGAGTTGCTGGAGAACATTATGGGCGATGTTTCCGGACTTTGAAGTGACCCTGTGAATTTTGTTTGAACATCTAGGAGGTATATAATTTTGAGTGATAAATCAAGAGTATAGCATGCTGTCATGAAGCTCCTATTTATTCTGTGTACTTTTCGCATTTAGTGACTTAATTTGTTGTGAAACTGTATCACTGTAAGTTGCAATCTGGGGTGAAGTGAAACGTTATTTTTTACAGTCTTCCATTCCATGCATAAATAATCAACAACTTTGATGACTTATCCCTGATTTTGTTTTGTTGCAAAGATACTTCTGTTATGCAAATCCTTTTATTGGGATATTACAGAAGCGAATATAATTGAAACCTTTTCCACCCATGCAATAGTTATTTTTTGATATACACTATATATTCAAAGGTGGAATTTCATGAAGCGTAATGCTATGTTTACCACATCTCTGTCTCGAATGATGTAACACAGTTTTTTACCATCAGATAAATAGGTCTCATTAATATTTAATTACAGAGATTGTGCCTTATCATTTAAGATGAAAGATTTGATAAAAAAAATTGATAGTATTTTCCTTTCATGAAAGCACTGAGTGAATTAATTGTTCTTGAAGGTTTCGTTTGTGCTGATGACAATCATGTTTGTTTGTCGACTTTATTGAAGCACAGGGTGGGTCAGGAAGGACAGTAGAGAAAGAAAATGAAAGAAAGGAGGAGGTGATTTGGAAAGATGAATAACTGAGACAAGCTATGCTGGTTTGAGTGGTGCACTGCTGGGTGAGGCTCTGATTATGTCATCAATTCCTGAAACTGATGCATCATATACAACACTAATTAATGTCTTTAATGGCTGACCATGTCTCTCTCTCTCTCTCTCACAGACACACATTTCACCTCGTCATGAATAAGTCAATATAGGCATCTAGGCCATGGATTCCTGTTCATTTTTTCTATAAAAAAGAGAAAAAGAAAAACTAGAGGGGGATCTAGTCTAGTACGCAGATGGCAGCTTGGGTTTTGCTGGTGGAACCCAGCCTCCCAACCAAGTCCCTAATTTTGAACCGTAAGGGATGCCAAAGCGAGGTCTTAAAATGAATATATTTGTAAATTAACACTTAAATTAATGGGATGCATTTAAACTACTGAAATATAGATTACAGTTAAATTAATGAGTGTCAAGTCATACAATTAAAATGACTATATTTGTGAAATCGTGAAAGTTGTACTAATATGAGATAAATTGCACTAATGAAAAAAAAAAAAAAAACTTTATATTTTATGCAGAATAAAGATGAGATTTTGGGTAAATATGGTCAATGCTTTTTAAATAGGACTAATTATTAAATCAATTAGACAATTTCTAGGAGATTTTTATTTATTTTTTAATTTAATTAGGAAGTTATTTAATTTTATTTATTTTTCTTAATTAAGATTTTATTTTATTTAATTTCCTAATTTAATTAGGATCCTACTTTTCCTAGTTGATTTTAAGGTTTTGCCTAGTCTATAAACATTTTAGTTTGCAATTTTTGTATTTTATTTTTGACGTTGTAATTTATTCAAAGCAATATCATATTAGACTTAGCATTGCAAAGTAAACTAAGAATACATATAATACTGTACCTGTTAACCTGAAATGTGGGTAAACTTTGCATTGTGATATAGTCATGAGCTGCTTAGCACTCAGTGGTCTCCTTCTCCTTGGCACTCCTTCATTAATTGGGCTGCTATCAATTGGAGGGGAAAAGAAAATCTATGCTCCCTGTCATCCTTAAGCTTAGCCTCGCTTCTACGATTTATCATATATGGATGGAGAGGAACTTCAGAGTGTTCTCTAACCAATTCAGGGTTCACAACTCTTTGATTCAAGCCATCAAGGACAAAATAATGTCTACTAAATTCAAGTACTCCAACCAGAATCCTAGGATGGTGTATCTATGGGATCTTCCTCTCAACTGCTTAGCATGATTCCTTTTGAGGACTATTTTTGTATAACCTTAGGACTTGAATTCTTGGGGAAGTGTTGAATATCCTCTTTACTTCCCTCTAAGTTATGGTCTTTCTTCTCTATTTTGTTGGACAACATTAGTTGTACTTTTGTTTGCTCATGTATAGCTGCTTCTTTTCAATACAATTTTTACCTTTTGATGTAGTCATGAGAACGAAAGACTGCACATACACAGTTGGTCTTTGGGTAGTTTGGCATATTTGGAGGCCCAACGTCGGTACGGGAAAGGATATACCAGTTGACCCAAAGTAAGCCCATTTATGTGCTCGTGACTATATCACAATGCAATCTTCTTATAACGTGCACAGAATCTATCTATGCATTTAAATCTTGTTGTCTTAATATTTATTCAATTCATTTACAATTGTGTCTGTGTATAGATGTATCCGTGTTGTGTTTAGTCAAATATGCAGTATGCTGATATATATATATGTATATGTATATTTATATGACGTATCTAATATAATAAAAGGCACCCCATTTACCATTTGAATTCACTAACATTAAACCCAACCCAGATTTGTGAATTCTATATGTATCAAGTTCGCTGGTGCTGTCTTCCTTTTGCTGCACACCTGTGTGATCAACTGCATATGAACAAATGCCAAGGATCCAACATTGGGCTGGTTTTATTGAAATTTCAACCCACCACTAGAATCGGGAAATAAACGAATAGGTCTTTGATTTAACGATATTTTTGAAGATTTTGTCTTCCTAAAATCAAGGTTCAAATCCTTTTTTTCTCTCAAAAAAAAAAATATAATATTTGTTGAGCCCAATTAAGGATGCAATTAGGCAACATTCCATATAATCTATTAGGCTACGGATATAGTCATGTTATTTTATAGGTTAGTAGGTTGTTTCTCTCACCAACCGGCATAATAAAACTTATTGCGGGGCATAATACACATCTGTTTTTTAAGTGTTAAGGAATCGATGCATGATATAATTGCTAAAATGATCTTATACTATTAGCGATCTACTATATGAATAATTTTCATACACAAAAATTTATAAAACATATTAGATGTATATGTATTTAAATTAAATATCATCTCAAATTTATCAAACTTTATTTTTTATTACTCATATTTTATTATAAGATTCTGAAAATATTGTATGTTCTCAAATTTTTTTGTTAAAAAATAGTTAAAATTTTATTTTATAGAATTTTGTGATTAATATTGGTTTTTAGTGATGTTTAAGAAATTATTTTTTTTTTAAATTCATTTGATTAGGATTCCACTTCTAATTCTTTAAATAAAATAAAAATAATTGTCAATATACTAATCATATTGGAACATTACTCTAATTAGAAATTAGTTAAGTCAAATTTGATAAGACTTAGCATACTACTCTATAATACTTATTTTCAAATATATTAAAATTCTAAAAAATTTAAATTTTACTTAAAAAGACACTATAATATTTATTTTTATATAAAATCTTAGTATAACTTACAAATTTTATTTTGATTAAAGAATTATACTGATGTAAAATAAATTGATTTTAAAAAAATTATATATACGATTATTTTTTTCTTATAAATAAAAATTTTCAACTTTTCAACTTAAAAAAATACACATATGTAGGTATAATGTTAATTTTGCATATAAGATGAGTAATTTTAAATTGATAGAGTTTTTCAAAATCTTTTGAACACTTTATTAAAAATATAATGATGCACATTTTTTTAAGATTAATAGTCAATCAAATAGAAACTGATATTTATACATAAATAATTAAAAGAGATATCATAGATAATTTGAAATGTTAAATACATAAGAATATGATGATAATTTAGATATTGAATTGCCAAAGGATAGAGTGGTCTTTGCATTTTTTTATAAGGGTAAAATAGAGATTTAAAAAAAAATTATTTTAAGGTACTTTTATTAATAGTATATATATATGCACAAGTCTACATAAAGATTTGTAATTACATCTACCACTTAACTATGGCATGCATTTGGGGCCATGACTTCCCTAGATGTCTCAAAACCCCTAATCTTCAAAATCATTTTATCATATATGATTGAGGGGATTCTTGTTCCCATCTCACTATCCAAATGCATGCATTTTTGTAAAGATATAGGGCATCTCTTAAGCAATGTTGAAGGATAAACAATTTAAAAACAATCTTCTTTAGAACTGTAGTGTGCAAAATGCAAATTCACGGGTTTTTTTTTTTTTTTTTTATATAGAATGTTGAAGAAATGTAATATCATGGTTGTCTTGCTCAATGTTGGATGAGTAATTCTTAAGTATATTTAGCTTAAGAATGAACAACACAATTTTTAGACCTCCAATCCACCCAAAAGAAAATTCTGCCAATGATTTGCATGCACTTGGATTTGTTCTATAAAAATTCCAACATCCGAAGAATTTGATTCCCTTCGACTAATAGCACTGACTATAGACTTTGAATCTCCTTCCAAAATCAGTATGCTAGTGCCCAACTTAGTAGCTAATTTAATCCCTGTGAGAGCCGCCATAGCTTCCACTTGCTCAACACTAAGGGGGCTATTAACCAATTTAGATAATCCAGCTACAAAATCCCCATTACTGTCTCTTGCTACCACCCCAATACCCACTGATTTCACAGAAGCAAAGATTTCTCCATCGAAATTTATTCATGGTGGATTATTAGTTGTGAATTCAAGTGAAATCTATTATATATACGTGTATTTTTCACCCATTAACAATGAATAGACCAGTAAAAATAAAAATTTCTATATAACACAGACTTGAGCAAGAGTGGTAACAAAGTAGCATTTATGGCAATATGCTGAGCGCCTGCCACGGATTGCAGTGCATTGAATTGACTAAGATTTGCTGCTTCAACCTACTGTTACGGATTGAAAACTGCTAATTCAAAGAACATTTAAACAAAGGAATTGCTCCTCTGTAATCCGATAGGTGACGGAAATGCATTTGAAAAACAGAAGAAGAAATGTTTACATATGAAGACCCGACATAATCGGTAACAAATTATTTCAAATGATATATGTAATACGCTTGAGGATTTCATCTTTCTCTTATGAAATTAAAACTATAACAATCAACAATAACCAGTAAATATTTCACAGGACGGGCCTAAAACTAAGATTTCACACTAAAACATGTTTTGTCCGATTCATTCCTTGATTGGATTGAAATTTATGGTGATTTAGGGGGGGCTGCACATCTTACATCTTATTTAATTACTTTGAGTTCTTCCAAATTTGTTCGAGTTCCCTTGCGAATGCCTTCTGTCTTCCAACAACAATGGTGATGTGATCTTTCTTCTCAAACACCTTAACACGGGCACGAGGAATTCTGGATTGTACATTGTGGCTGCATTCAACTGGGATAAGTTCATCGTCTCTACCGTGAAATATGGTGACTTCACATTTGAGGCGATCTTGAACAACATCCAAATATCCTTCGATTTTTCCAGCCGCCCCACAAATAATATTGTGCAGGGTATGCCAAGCAGCGTTGTGTGTATGGCAGCAGAACCCTTCAATCAAGTATGTCCTCATCCTGTAGAAAAAATAGTATCCCATTAATGACAAGAGTTACACTAGTACTTACTAGTGTATATATATATATATATGTCATTTTCCAATTAAAAGAATAGGATGATTGTAATCAGAGCTGTTTTTCCAAATGTGATTACCAAAAAAGTGGGTGCAATAATGGAAAAACCTACTTATTATCGCAATTAAAACCTGCCTCCATCCCATTCAAGCAAAAGTCCCGACAACATCGGGCAGACAGACGGTCCCTCACCATCTGAAATTGACTCTTATGCCCTCACATGTTGTTTCAAATTTCATACTAATTTTTCTCCACTTCCAAGGTACAGGTTTCTTTTTCTTTCTTTCTTTCTTTTATCGTTCTGGGTAAAAAAAGATGCAAATGTCACCTTGCCAAAAACTTGGTTAGAAGTGAGAATGTGGGTATGCCTTTGCCATGCATGTGGCTTGTTTGGGCTCACTTCATTGCTAATAAATTTCCAGCCTCGTCATGTTAACTTATTAGACCATGTCAACTGGCATTATATTTGGTTAGCTTAATTTATTATTCCCTTCTTTCCTAAATATCTGTCGTTTTACGTAATTTTTTTATTCTATAATATCTGTCGTTTAATGAAACCAAAACATAATTAATATTTTTTCTTCCAAATTTATCCTTAACTTTTCAATGCATTAGATTAGGTGGAGGCTAAGTGTCTTTCATATTTCTTTCTTTTCCAATATATATTGAATAAAGGTATTTTAGTCTTATACAATTATTTTTTACTTATATTAATGTTATTTAATAGTTTCCTTAATTCTTGTGCAAAAACGGTAAAGGACAGATATTTAGGAATGGAGGGAGTCTCTTATCAATAGGGCAAACTATATTCTAACCCAACATGACCTCCCAAAGAAAGTATGTTATTAGCCTCACATCAACAAATGGCCTAAATAAACGCACCATTAAAAAACAGAGAGTAAAGTATCTGTCATTGTGGATTGTGCTGTGAGGACTACTCCATGGTCTTATACGATATAATTTGAACATGACATATCTATCATAAAGATAATAATTAATGCACATGTAGTTTAGCTTAGGGGTAGTTTAGACAACTAAACCTAAGAAATATACCATAGTCTTAACATTCGGTGCATTCTTAACACTACCGTGACCTTTGAGAAGGCTAATAGTACTTAATACTAAACTAACAAAGAATAAAAAAAAAAAAACAGACGTTGAAAACAGACTGAAGAACGAGTACAAGTGAGATTAGAAGTACCACAACCACAGTATCAATATGACATAATTAATTGTGTCTTTATTTTATCTTATTTTTTAGTGAGTGTACCATGAAGATTACAAGAATAGGAAACTTGAACATACCTGTTTCTGGTGACAAGTTTGGTGAGAAACTCCCACAAACGGTGGTTCTTGCAGATGAGCAGACACACCGTCCGGCTAACATGCTCATACCAGCAAGCAATCGACGAACCGAAAGCAATCAGAGGCCACACGCGCCTTGGAGCTACCCTCCTCATCACGTACTGTGTAGCTTGTTCACCCTTTGGTACTGGAAAATATGGCTGCCATTTTTCACTAACATCAAATCCATCCATATATATGATAATAAAAATAATAACTATACAGTTGATGATGCTCTGAATCATCTTGTGAGCAAGAGACAGAATCAACTTACGGGGGCAAGTAAAGTTAGGGACTTGACGGAGCCTGGATGTTTTACGGCGAGTGCGAGAGCCAAAATGCAGCCCAAAGAATGTGCCACGATGTGGAAGGATTTCACTTTGTATGGCTCCAGGACAGACCCTTCAATCATGTCCAAATGCTCTTTCAGGGTGTAGAGTGAGTCATTAGGTTTGGGACTCCTTCCAAACCCCAGTAAATCGATCGCGAATAACCGGTAAATCGATTTGGCAGATTTTGAGAATTTCGGAAATAATGTTTCAGTCCAAAATGCAGAAGATGAGATGAATCCATGAATGAACAGCACATCTTCTTGTACATTGTCTGAGGACCAAATATTAAATTCCTTAATGAAAACATATCTAATTTATGTGTAGTTTTGGTACCATTACCAATTAAATTCACACACACACACACATACATACATACATTTCTAATTGAAACCAGAAATTGATGTTTTTATTACCTTTAGCTCCATCAGTTTTAACAAATAACGTGTCTTTGCAACAAGAGGCCCAAGAGTTGCAAGTTTTACAATCACAATCGGACCATCTTGGAATGGGATGTGATCGCTGCCCACCGCCGATCTTTCCTTGTAACATTTCGACTATGGTAGAGTTGATTGTGAAAGTCGATCGGACTGTCCCTTTTTTGATCTTCTCACACGATTGAATCATTGTGCTCTCCAGTTTTAGTCGCTTGAGCTCGTTAACGGTGGATTTGGAGACCTCGGACGCCAAGGATGGACGTGTGTACAAAGTGTCTGAGATCTCTTCAAGTTGCAACTTATAACTAGAAGTGAGGCTGACAATCTTGGACTCTCCTTGCTCAGAGACCAAGATCTTCCCACTGCTGGTGATAGCTTCTTTCGCGGATGAGCAATAACAAGGCTTCCATTCTGCTTCGACGAAGAAATCAATTACTTTGTAAGTATAGCATAGGAGGAAATCCAGGAGGTCTAGGACAGAGAAGACAATGAAGCTGACCACCTCATTAACAACTCTGCCTATCAATGTTAAAACCACTATTGTTTGGTCCATAACAGCCATTTCACATAAAAAAACCATCACCAAACCTAAGCTCGTAGATTTAAGAGGAGAAAGGAGAATTGAGAGAGTGGAGTTGGAGGTGGAGGTGGAGGTGGAGGTGGAGGTGGAGGTGGAGGTGGAGATCGAGATCTACAAAGGTTGTGTTAAGGCATCCATCAGCTGATATGACTCAGAATGCCATTGATGCTACTAATTTGTTAGCAAGTTTTCAACTCCTACACAACCATAAAAGGAAAGCAAACAGAGAGGAGAATGAGTTTTCTTTCTTTCACAATTGATGCAAAATGGGTTGTGGAAATAACGTGAGAGTGCTGCTCATAAAATTTAGTGTGTGGACTGTGGAGAGAAAGAGAGAGAGGCGGATGGACACGTACAAATAGGTAAAAGATAAATGAATTCATTGTTACATTAAAATCGTTTGCTGGCCAAGGGAAAAAAAGTTGGTGGTGGTTGAACCTCCAGGTGAAGAAACATTTCTCTTCCAAGAACTAAAGACCATAGCCGCAAGCTTTCTCTCCCTTGCATATTTATATTGAATTTGGGAGAATTTTTTCTTCCTTTTCTTTTTTTTTTTTTGGGTTGAAATTATCAAAACCAAGCAATGTGCTTTCGTGCCCTTCACAAAAAAACCCTTTGCCACAATTTTCTCCTCCTTGGGGTTACAATCCTCCCCCTCCTTATTCAAGGTAGCTAAACTACAATTAATGCATGTAAAATTTTTCAAAGGGTAGAGACCCCAAAACCTCTGGTATTTATTGCTAGTTGTCCAGGCCACATCTCACATGACTCCCATCCACCACAGTGCCAACCTTCACCACCGTCCTAAGCTCTTATAAATGTCTAGATGTGTACACTTCGTTTATGCTTACTTTTTATTGGGGTATGGAAGTGTTTTTTTAAGAAAAAAGAGGGAGGGAGAGTCTCACTATCAACAGAAAACCCTGTTTTCTACTTAACAATATTTTATATTGATATGCATTTTCAAATTAACGAAAGGAATGTGTGCCTACAAACTTCTTTAAAAGCATCTCTTTGTAGGTGATGATGTCTTCATCAACTTAATATATCATTTAATGGTTTGCATGCTAATAAATTCATTTGTCTTATCATCACCTGCTTAATCTTCGCACTTTAACTGCAATTGCCTTCAGTTTCTTCCCATCAATGCCACATTTAAGGAGCTTAGAGTTATTGAACCAGCAACCCCTTAATAACATCAACCATTATTATTATTATTTACTATTAGTTATTGTAATCCAACCCCACGAGATTTGTTACAAAATTGCATCAACTCTCTCATGTCAAAAAAAAAATAAAAATAAAAAATTAAAGATACGAACTCTTGCGCATTCAAGGCATGAGAGGTGGTGAAAATACCTATTTTCTTCTATCATGTTTGAACCTGTTGAATGGAAAAAAAAAAAAAACAACAAAATTCTTGCCCAACAAATTGACTAATCTAAACTTCTTGTCAAATAAGTCTTTACTACAAAACTCTCTCTCTCTCTCTCTCTCTCATACATATATACAGACACACAAACCCCCCACAATTAATATTGCCACTACCACTGACTATACTCCCCTCGAATACTCTACCCCAAATCTTCAATTCGTGCCACACCCCCTCCCCCTCTGGTCGGGGGGGCTACCCTGAATCACAATTCCACCTAACAACCGAAACACAACACCTTAGGCCACAATGGCATTAACAAGTACATGATGATATCGACTTGGTGTCAATAAATCCAAAGTAAATAACACAAGCTTGACGATTTCAATATTCCAACATGGAGCATGCATGCCACCAGTTTTACCAAAATTGTAAGCACAAAGCACATGATGGTAAATGAAAATAGTTATTATAATATTTCGTTTTGTGAACATTTTAGGAGGACAGACAAAAATTAATCTTCTCGATAAAGATTGTATACATGTTATATATATATACTAGTAATAAAAAATAATAAACATATTCAAAATCAAATTACAAACATAGAGTAGAGATAAAAGAATTTAAACATTGATTTATAATGGGGGTGAGAGGTGGTGGGCAGCAATAGTGGTGGTAGGAGACGGTGATGGTTGTGGTGGGTGGCAATAATCGTGGTGGAGGCGAGTAAGACAGCGACGGCGACAGCAATGGCAACGGCGACGGTGGTGGTGGTGGTGGGCGTGGCAGTGGCGGTGGTGGTAAGGGTGGCAATGGCGGTGGTGATGGTGGTGGTGACGGCGGCGACGGTGGTGGTGGTGGTGACGGCAGCGACGGGGGTGGCAGCCGTGGTGGTGGTAGCGACGACGAAGGCGGTGGTGGTAGTGGCGGCAACGACAATACTGGTGGTGGCGGCGGCAACGAAGATGGTGGTGGTGGCGACCGTGGCAGTGGCGGTGGGACGGTTTTAAACACTATTTTTTTTAAAGTATTTATGAGAAATAATTTTTAAAACTATTTTTAAAAACTCACTCTAAACACACCATTAGGGACCTATTTTTTTTATTAAATTTAGGGTATTAATATTAGTCGTTAGATTAATTTAAAATAAAATTAAAAGTGATCTCAACCGCGAATAGCAAAAGTTATTTTGTTTATCTTTTGAGATTTGAATTGTAAACTACTTTATTATATAGACTAGTTATTGTTTGTGTCTGAAGATACAAAGTAATAAAAAATAAAAAATAAAAAATAAATTTATATTTATATCCAAAACCAAATCACAAATATAGAGGAGAAATAAAAGAATTTAAGCATCGGTTGTATTAGGGGAGAGAGATTGTGGGCGACAGTGGTGGTGGTAGGAGACGGTGATGATTATGGTGGGTGACAATGGCCGTGGTGGCAGCGACGACGGTGGTGGTGGTGATGGGGTGGTGGTGGCGATGGTGGTGGTGGTGGAGGCAGTAGAGCTAGTGGTGAGACAATTATAAACACTATTTTTTAAAAAATATTTATGAGAAATAATTTTTAGAAGTACTTTTAAAAAGTCACTTCAAACACACCTTTAGAGACTTATTTTTCTTATTAAATTTAGCGTGTTAATATTAATCGTTGTATTAACTTTAAAGTAAAATTTAAAACGATCTGAACCACAAAAAATAAAAGTCATTTTGTTTATCTTTTGAAATTTGAATTGTAAACTACTTTATTATATAGATATTGATTGAGGCTTGACATCTATATCAAAAGAAGCCAATGTATAGCAATAAGTGGTTTTTAATTTGTAATCTGATCCTGTATGAATTCAAACAATTGACAACTTAAAAGTATTTTAACATAAAAAAATTTTGATTCACTATTTTACTATCATAAAAAATTGAAAAGACCACGTTATCCTTCTACACTTAATATATAAATTATCATCATATCTTTATGCATCTCAATCTCTAAATTACATCTAAGATTACTTTTAATTATCTATTTTTTATGTATAAATATAAATTTTTATGAAACTTTTTGCTTTACTATATTACTCTTAAAAAATATGTGCATCATTATAAGTTTTAATAAAATATTTAAAAAAACCTCTAAAAACTTTATCAATATAATATTATTCATCTCATTTATAAAGATAATATATTTTATCTTTTATCAAAATGTTTAACCTTTTAATTTTTAAAATAAAAAATATTGTATGTATAGTTTTATATTATTCTTCAATCACAATAATTTTTTCAAACTATGTTAAAATTTTATGTGAAAATAGTTTGTAGTATATTTTAAAGAAAAATTTAAATTTTTTAAAATTTTAATATCCTTTATTATATATTAGGGGTAACTCGTGCCTCAAGACACAGTACAATATGAATGGTTTTGAGAGGAATGTTGAGAGCTGTTGGATGAGCCTATTTGAGACCGTCGAATGAGTTTATGGAAGTCTATTCCGTTTTATATTATAAATTATATATAGTGTAATATATTAAATCTTATCTCAATTGACCTAACTAATTTTAAATACAATAAGGTTCCAATATGATTGGTATATTGACAATTATTTGTATTTTATTCAATGATTTATACATATAATCTTAATAAAGTTAATTTTAAAAAATTTAATTTTCAAACACTAAAGAAGCTTAACAAAGCATAGTTACAACAGAGTAACAAACAGTAGCATAGACACAACACAGAAGCATAGATACAACACAACAGCAAAAAAACAAAAGGTAGTAGAGATGCAACGCAAAAGAATTTATGGGCAGTGAAGGCCTTGGACAGCACTTCCTCGCAAATTCATAACCTGGGCATCCAATGGAAAGTAAGCATTACAAGGAGAAAGAAAGGTCCAAGCAGGAAAGGGAAACCCAGGAGAAGATCCTAGAATTGTAGAGTTGAAGGATCGAAACAGAGTTCATGATGACTAGGCGACATGATGACCAGGCTGTTCCAACCCAAGGAGAAAATTATAGCAAGTAATTGTGCGGTAAGTTCCATAACTGCAGCATTCTAAGATTAAGAGGGGAGTTCTTGAACTTAGTAGAAATGAACCTGTCTCTGATCGTTTGCTTGATAATATGAGTCAAGGTATTACAATCCCTGAATTGGTTGGTAAAAACTCTAAGATTCCTTTCCATCCATATATGGTAAACAGCAACCGAAAGACTCAACTTCAAAACAATAGCATAGATCGAATTCCCCTTCCAATGGAGAGCTGCCCAACTAATGAAAGATGGTCAATTTGTAGGTGACCACTAGATACGACTGCAAGATAGGATGTGAGTCCATATAGCATGGGTATATGAGCATTCAAAGAAGAGGTGAGGATGAAACTCAGGAGATTGTCTGCATAGGACGCATCCCAGGTCAGCTTGGTTGGAGGGAGAATGAGCTCTATCCTTGGTGTACAATCTTTGCCTAATTGCAAGCCACAAAATAAAACTCATTCTGGGGATGAATTGTTTGTACCAAACAAGCTTATGCCAAGAGATTTTTGGTCCAGTGTTTCTAATATAATGCCAAGTAGAAGAGGTAGAGAATCTGCCATTTGAATTGAGGGACCATAAGACCTTATCTTCGGAGAACTGATCAAGTGCATAAGCAGGCATAGAGGCAGCAATACCAAGAAGGGCAGGAGAAGATGCATTATGCCAATTCTATTGATTCTCGGAAATAATGCAGCAGACTCTAGAATTCATGTTGAGGCCAGAAGCAAGGATAGGAATATGTCCCTATCTAGAGAACAGAGGATCATTAGGATGCCAGTTATCAAGCCATAAGAAGGTGCCATTGCCATTACCAACTTTGTGCAACAAAAGGGTCTTATCACCTCCCTTAGCTTCAAGATATTATGCCAAGTCCAGGAGCTAGCTGAAGTAGCCCTGACTTCCCAAAGACTTCTTCCTTTTTAGTGATAAGCATGGATCCAAAGTGACCACAAGGCCTCTTTATCAGTGAAGAGCCTCCATACATGTTTCATGAGCAAAGCATAATTCCAATCCTTGAGCCTTTTAATACCCAATCCTCCTTCATCTTTGGGTTTGCAGACCTCATCCCATGCAACTTTAGCCCCAGTGTTCTTTAATTCCACACCCTTCCATAAGAAAGCACTTATGAGTTGTTCAATTTTTTCAATCACAGAATGGGGGAGAGCAAGATGAGTGGACCAGAAGACTTGAATGCTGCTAATGATAGAGGTTACAAGTTGAAGCCTACCAGCATAAGATAAAAATATGTTAATCCAGGATCTAATTCTTGTTCTGATATGCTCCACAAGCCCTTCACAGTGCTGATGTTTTAGCCTAGTAGTGATGAGAGGAATGCCCAAGTATCTGACAGGGAGATCTCCTTCGGTAAGGCCCATAAGCTGAATAATTTGGGACTTAGTTTCTAGTTGGACTGCCCACAAGTAGATATTGTTTTTTTCTAGATTGATCTGCAATCCAGAAGCAGATTGAAATTGCTGTAGAGAGTGCTTAAGCACCATGACAGAATTTAGATCACCATGACTGAACATCAGGAGGTCATCCGCAAAGGAGAGATGGCTAAGCTTGATCTTTCTGCACCTCCAATGGAACTTGAAAGGTTGGAGAGAGATATTTCTTTGGACAATAAGTGATAGCACTTCCATTGCAATGATAAAGAGGTAGGGGGACATGGGATCACCCTGTCTAACTCCCCTCTTGCTTGGAAAGTAACCAACGAGCTCACCATTAATATTAACAGAAAACTTAGGAGAGGAGATGCAAGCATGGATCCAATTTCTCATTCTGTTGGGAAAGTTAAGGCCTTCTAATGTCTCCATCAGGAAGTTCCAATCCGGAGTGTCAAAGGCTTTCATAAGATCAATCTTAATAGCACATCTGGGGGAGCCTTTATCAATATGGTAGTTCCTTAATAGCTCTTGTGCAAGAAGAATGTTGTCCCCAATGTTTCTTCCATGAACAAATGCAGCTTGGTTAGGATTGATGATCTCTAGGAGAGCTCTTTTAATTCTAGAGGCAATGATTTTGGAGATGACTTTATAAATAGTGTTTGCAGCAAGAGATATGCCTGAACTCATTCATGGTGCTTGGATTTGGAACCTTAGGAATAAGGGCCAATATGGTGGAGTTAATCTCATTTAGTAGTTTACCTGTAGCAAAAAATTCCTTTATAGCAGCACAGACAAGATCCCTTATAACTGACCAGGATTTTTTAAAGAAATAAACATTGTATCCATCTAGTCCTGGAGCTTTCTGATCCTTTAAGGAGAAGAGGGTTTTTTTGATTTCATCATTGGTAACCACCTGACACATTTCAGCAGCCTGTTCATCAGAAAGTCTTTTTTGCATCACTTCAGAAAAGATTTCTCTTCTTTCACTAGTTGAGTAGGTTGAGCTAGTTGAGCCCAAAAGGGTTTGGTAGAAATCAATAGCTTCATTCTTAACCTCCATCTCACTGTTAGCAATAGAGCCATTATTTATCTTCAGAGAAAGGATCTTCTTTTTTGTTTCTCCTATTAACCATGGATTTGAAGAAAAAAGATGTATTCTGATCGCCTTCTTTTAACCATTGTATCCTTGATTTTTGCTTGAGAACAATCTCTTCATTACTAGCAGCGGTAAGGTATATGGAGAGGAGTTGTCTCTCTTCCAATCTCAAGTTGGAGTCAATGTGGTCATTATCCAGTTTGGCTTGACACCTTTCAAGAGCCATTTTAGCCTTAAAAACTTTGTAGATGTCTCCCCCATTTCTTTGTTTTTACCTTTGAGTAATGCTTTTAATCTTTTGAGCTTGCAGCATAATTTGAATTAAAGTGATCCATTGTCCCAGACATCCCAAGCTTGATTTACTAAGTCGAGGAAGTCTTCTCTGTCAGCCAAATGATTAAAGAACTTGAAAGGAGTCTTTCTCCTCTTGATTTCTTCTCCAATTCTTACAACAACTGGGCTGTGGTCCGAAATTTCTAGAGCTAAGAATTCAGTATTTGACTGCTGGATCTTGCTGTTCCAAGCCTCATTAACTAGAGCTCTATCAAGTTTTCTTGAAATGCTGCATCCCACAATTCTCATATCAGACCAGGTAAACTGAAACCCATAGTATCTCAAGTCAACTAATTCAGCGTCTTGCAAACAAGTATCAAAGTCCTCCATGGAACTAGTCCATCTCCCAGAACAACCTTTTGTTTCCTGCAAACTTCTGATAGCATTAAATCACCAAGGATCAACCATGGTTCAGAACAAAATATGCTTGCATGATATCTAATATTTCTCCATATCTAATATTTCTCCATAGGTCCCTTTTATCCTACTCCTCATTAGATGCATAAGCAAAAGAGGTGAAAAAAAATTGATTACTGTCAACATGCTGCACAGAAAAGTGTATAATCTGCTCTGTCTCAAAAATTTTACTAGCATTCAAGGTATTGGGATTCCACCCCACCCAAATCCTACCCAACGTATGGCAGTTATAGTTGTCCACATAGCTTCAGTTCCTAAACACTTGTCTCATAATGAAACTTTTATTAATGGTCTTACCCTTGTTTCCAAAATGCTAACAAAATCAAGCTGATTAACACCAATAAACTTCCTCATTTCATCTTGTCTAAAGGCTTTATTTAGCCCTCTAATATTCCAACACGCAACTTTTATCATTGTAATAGTGCTTGGCTGAGCTTAAGGTGCTCAATTCCCTTACGTTTACTCTGCTCAGAGGCCTTTTTTTTCCTCTTTTCTCTTTTTGGTGTTATCCAGTGTTGTGTTGCTGGTATTAACCTCTGATGTTTCAATAACACAATCCTTTTCCTTTAATTTTCCACAGATAGAAGACTAATGGGGAGAAATTTCAACAATTAACTGATCTTCTTCCATTTTTAGCCCAGAAATTTATTGGAAGAGGGAAACAAGGCATTACAATCAGTAAATGGAGAAGCAATAGTGTTTATAAAGGTTACCAAATTGTCTACCAGCTGTGTGGTATCCAATGTCTCATTAGCTAGATGTGCAGAGGTGGGGGGAGTCTTTGGAGTAGAGCATTCAGCAATCTGAGGGGTGAATGGGACCTTGGTTGGTACTATCTCCACAATTGGCATATCAATGATTGTGGTTTCAATAACTGCTTTCTCTTTGTTATGGTTGGCCTTTTTTGTAGTGTTTCTTTAGGCGTACAAGTGCTCATTCTGGGGCAATTAGCATCAGTGTGCCCAAAAATATTGCAGGTAAGACAAACCTTGGGCCTCCATTGGTACTCCACTTTAATTTCAATCATACCTGATTTACCATCTTCATCTAATTGCCGGTCAAAGGACTCCACCAATTTAGTATGAGTCGTTACTTCAACACAAACTCTAGCGAAGGAAATCCGCTTTTTATTAGCAGTTAGAGAATCCGCATGCAGTGGCTTCCCAACAACACTAGCAATGTAGCTTAATCCTTTTTCACTCCAGTATTGTAAAGGGACATTATGTGACTTAATCCATAGGGGGATCACAGACTGGTCTTCTTTGGAAAGAATAAGGTTAGGCTGCCATTTCCTGAGGATAAGTGGCCTACCAGAGAAGAGCCATGGGCCATCCTCAAATGCTTTGGTTCTAGAAGCATCACATATGAACTTGAAGAAATAGAACCCTTTCTCATCAGCTAGGACCTCAAGAAGCCCTAACTTGTCCCAGATCTTGTGGGCAATGCTATTAACAATAGAGAAAGGGAGTTTTTTTTCCACAAAATATCCAACCAAGCATGATTCCCATTCAAGACAACCTCTGCTTACAACTTAATTTGGTGGTTTAACCACAATACATTCCTTGTCCTTTGTGGGTTCAAAGTATTGTAGCTTCATCTTAGGGTAGAGTCCTCGAGCTTGTGACTGTTGTGTTCCATTCTTGCCATGCCTTACCACTTGGCTCCATGTACCAGCTTCAACATTGCTCTGTTTCTGCTTCTGGGGAGTTACTATAGCAGTGTTTTCCCATGTGTAGAATGAGGGACATTTATGAATTCTTTCAGTTGAGAATTGGCAGATAGGAGATTAACTTGGCAGTTAGCATCACCACCAATGCAATTCAGATCAGCAGCAAGGGAGTTAATGGCTCCTTTGACATTTTGCATAATCACCCCATCGAGAAGGAGCAAGGATGAAGAGAGCTGGGGATTCATCAGGGATGTGGTAGATAGATGGGTGAGAAGGGATTAAAGATTGGATGGGCAGATTTGCAGGGCAAATCGAAGAGGGGTAAAAGAGGGTTTGGTGAATAGAAACAAAATTAGAACTTTAATTATTTATTTATTTATTTTTTATCTTTTTTCTTGAAGTTAGAACGACAAATATTGGGAACATACAAAGTTTTCAAAATTTGTATAATAGAGTATGAGTGATACAAAAATAAGTTTGATAAATTTGAGATGATATTTAATTTAAGTACATCTATACTAAATATTTATTTATTAATGTTTATCTAAAAAATTATTTATGTGCAACGCACGTAATGCATTGCTAGTAATTAAAAAAATCGAGTTGGCGTCAAATTATTTACAGGACCAACCTAAGAATATTTGAGGTCCTAGGCAAAAATTTTAAATGGAGCCCTAAATTATTTTTTAAATTTTTATATATTTAACTTCATATCTTTGAGTAGGTGTATTTAAGGTGGAAAACAACTTGCAAAATAAAACACATTATATAAATGATTATACTAAGATCAAGATTAACTCAAAAAGAGTTATTGGGAACTCAGATAAAATGAGATAGTAGAGTCTTGTACTTTTTTGTAAGAGAGTATTGTGTGATCTTTTTTTTTTTTTGAATGTACATATATTTATGAGTTTAAGAAAAAATATTAATAATTTTTATTGATCATGTCACATAACATCTTAAATTTTTTACACTATTTTTAAAATTTTGTCATTTAATTTTATAAGACATACGAGAATGAGGTCCTAGGCAAGTGGGAGCCTAAGGCGACCGCCTCACTTGCATAGGATGGAATTGGCCAGGATTATTTAACGTTCGTAATTAATTATTATCCAGAACAAACCTAAAATGAAAGGATCCAGATACCAACAACACCACGATTTGATTGCGCCACTCTTATTTATCCATTAAACAGGTCAAAAAAGGGTGAAGTTTTCCTGGAGTCACGAATACAGAAGATTAATACCCAACTGCGATGTCCTCCTTACGTTTATTTTGTTTCCTACCAGTTCCTCCTAATTATCAACATCAGATTACAATAATGAAAATACGTGAAAGACCAATTCTCACAAGACCTTTTCAAACACTCTTACCTGCTCCAAGATGTCACGCAAAGAGTGTTTTCACTGACGTTACTATGTTCAGTACTCAAAATAAGTTGCTTATATATGTATAGTCTTTGTTACGGTTAAAGCCATGGCCTCCACGACAATTAATTAATGGAGATCCTAGTAATTTGTGGGTCTTTCTTCATGGTTCTATCCTTGAATGTTTTGCCTTCTGTTTCTTTCACTTCCTTTGTGTTCGGAGACTCTTTGGTTGATGCTGGAAACAATCACTACTTATTCACCCTCTCCAAGGCAGACTCTCCTCCATATGGCATCGATTTCACCACTTCTGGCGGGAAACCCACTGGAAGATTTACCAATGGTCGTACTATTTCTGATATTGTAGGTAATGCCAACCACGTACGTGCTTTTCATTTTTCTATCTTGAGTTTGCTCACAACATTTTCTCCTTCCTTAAATAACAAGATGTCCGAGGCAGCTGCCTAAGAAAATGCTTCAGGTACAACATATGATATTAGTGTACTTTGTGAATGGACGCATGTCTGCTTTCTAAACTTCCAGTAATATGCGAAATTAGATGTTTATAAGTGTTCTAGATCACCTCAAGACTTTCTTCATTCTAATAACTAACGAGCTCAATATAGTACTAAGTGGGAAAAAACCAGAATTGGGAATAGCAAAAAAAGCCTATGTTCACAAAATATGCAAAGCACTGTAATTCGCCTCTATAATTAACCCAAATCGGGCTACTACATATAACTCTAGGGACCCTGGAGTGATAAGTGGGAGCAATTATGCCTTCATGACCCTAACAATTCCCACTTGATGTCGTGCATTCAGATGAAGCTCTTGGAGCCAAGTCATTTCCTCCACCCTACCTGGCCCCGAATACATCATCGGATGCAATTCTTGGTGGAATAAATTATGCTTCGGGAGCTTCAGGGATTTTGGATGAAACAGGAACCCTCTTTGTATGTATAGCAACCTCACTTTTCTTCTTTTGTTTCTTTTCTTTTGAGATTTTTTAAGATCTTTGAAGATCCTTTGAGCTTCATCATTATGTAATTCCTTGAAATAAGGCCGGAAAATATGTGGCACAGATAGGAAGAGTACCTTTAAGAGAGCAAATCAACTATTTTGAAGAGAGTAGAGCTTACATGGTGAATGTGATGGGAGAGAAGGGCACAAAAAAGTTCTTAAGGCAGGCAATCTTCTCTCTAACAATTGGGTCAAATGATATACTGAACTATTTCCAACCTTCCATTCCATTTATTGGCCAAGACAAAGTTCCCTCTACTATATTCCAACACTATATGATTTCCAACTTGACAACACAGCTTAAGGTAAGAGCTTCAAGTGGTTGAATTTTACCATTAATTAGTTGATATCTTAATTAAGATAATTATAGGTATTTGCTTGTATGTGTGTATTTTTGTTGTATGAAGCGATTGCATGGATTAGGGGCTCGAAAATTCATTGTAGTTGGCGTTGGACCTCTTGGATGCATACCCTTTGTTCGTGCTCTCCACCTAGTGTCGGGTGGCAAATGCTCAGATGAGGTGAATACGTTTATCCGAGGCTACAACAAAAAACTAAATGTGGTGCTAGGTGATTTAAACCAAAAGATGGGACCAGAAGCTATATTTGTATATGCAAATTCCTATGATATTGTCATCAGGATTATATCACAATATCGACGATATGGTGAGTTTCATACCTAGGATGATGATCATTATGCTCTGTTTTATGACGAGTACTAACTGTGTCGATGCAATTTTAGGATTTGAGAACGCTGACGATCCATGTTGCGGAGGATATTTTCCACCATTTGTTTGCTACCAGGGCAATCATGCAAGTACAAGCTCTGTTTTGTGCAATGATCGGGCAAAATATGTGTTTTGGGATGCATATCATCCTACAGAAGCAGCAAATGTCATCATAGCTGAAAAGTTGCTTAACGGTGATAAAACTGCTAGCTCTCCTATCAATATTCGAGAGCTTTACCACTACAATCTCCAGTGAGATATTTGATTGGTGTTGGGGGGCTTTGGAGGATTATTTTCGGGGATAGACTTGGGTGTTGGTCTTGATTTGAGGGGTGCAAGGATCGGTTGCATATGTGTCCATGTCTATGCGCACATATGATCATATTCTAAGTCATTTTTTTTAACGTANACCACTACAATCTCCAGTGAGATATTTGATTGGTGTTGGGGGGCTTTGGAGGATTAATTTCGGGGATAGACTTGGGTGTTGGTCTTGATTTGAGGGGTGCAAGGATCGGTTGCATATGTGCCCATGTCTATGCGCACATATGATCATATTCTAAGTCATTTTTTTTAACGTAAGTGTCAACTAATTTTTTTCCTTTTCAATTTATAAAGAAATGAATTTATCGTCAGTGGCATAATCACCAACATAATTAAGGAGCATATTGGATAAAATTATTTGATACTTTTCTTGTGCATGAAAAGAGTGTCCATCATCTACACTAATAATGTTATATAGATATATATATATATAATAAAATAGAAAGTGTGTTTGAATTTTATCCCAGTCATATTTTTCCTATCAAAACTATCACCAATCACTTATCTCACCCATCATCTCTTTGTCAGACTCAATCGTCAAATCACATCATTCATTTCTATCACATATTTAATCATTTATATATTTCCTCCCTAAAAATATTACACCATTCATTTCTATTATATATCTAATAATTTAATAATTAATTAATTTTTAATTAATATATTTTGAAAAAATTTAATATAGTGGGTTCGATTTTGGATGCTCGAATTTTATATTTTATCATGCCTTCAGGCATGGGTTATGACTAGTATATATATACTAGTTATTTCCTATGCCTTAAGGTACGGAGTAATAAAAAAATGGTTAATAATAAAAATATTTGTATTTACATCAAAAATTAAATCACAAACATAAATGAGTGATAAAAAATTTTAAGTACCGATTGTAATAGGGGGTGAATGATGTAAGTGGTGATAGACAATAGTGGTGACGGTGATGATTGTGGTGGATGGTGACAACTGTGGTGGTAGTGGCAACCATGGGTAACAACGGTGATGGTAGTGGTGGATTTTAGGCGACAACGATGGTGGCGGCAGCAGTGGAGGTGGTGGTGACGATGACAGTGGTGGTGGAAGTGATGGCGGTGGTGGTGGCGGAGGCGACAGTGGCGGTGGCGACGACAGTGGTAGCTAAAGTGGTGGGGGCGGCGGTGGGTGTGATGGTGAGACGGTTTCAAACACTACCTTTTTTTTTTTAAGTATTTATGAAAAATAATTTCTAAAAATAATTTTAAAAAGTCAATTCAAACACACTTTTAAGGGCNCACTAATAATGTTATATAGATATATATATATATAATAAAATAGAAAGTGTGTTTGAATTTTATCCCAGTCATATTTTTCCTATCAAAACTATCACCAATCACTTATCTCACCCATCATCTCTTTGTCAGACTCAATCGTCAAATCACATCATTCATTTTTATCACATATTTAATCATTTATATATTTTCTCCCTAAAAATATTACACCATTCATTTCTATTATATATCTATTAATTAATTAATTTTTATTTAATATAGTGGGTTCGATTTTGGATGCTCGAATTTTATATTTTATCATGCTTCAGACATGGGTTATGACTAGTATATATATATATATACTAGTTATTTCCTATGCCTTAAGGTACGGAGTAATAAAAAAATGATTAATAATAAAAATATTTGTATTTACATCAAAAATTAAATCACAAACATAAATGAGTGATAAAAAATTTTAAGTACCGATTGTAATAGGGGGTGAATGACGTAAGTGGTGATAGACAATAGTGGTGACGGTGGGAGACGGTGATGATTGTGGTGGATAGTGACAACTGTGGTGGTAGTGACAACCATGGATAACAACGGTGATGGTAGTGGTGGATTTTAGGCGACAACGATGGTGGCGGCAGCGGTGGAGGTGGTGGTGACGATGACAGTGGTGGTGGCGGAGGCGACAGTGGCGGTGGCGACGACAGTGGTAGCTAAAGTGGTGGTGGTGGCGGTGGAGGTGGCGGTGGGGGCGGCGGTGGGTGTGATGGTGAGACGGTTTCAAACATTACCTTTTTTTTTTAAAGTATTTATGAAAAATAATTTCTAAAAATAATTTTAAAAAGTCAATTCAAACACACTTTTAAGGACCTATTTTTCCTATTAAATTTAGGGTGTTAATATTATCCGTTAGATTAAGTTTAAAGTAAAATTTAAAGCGATCTCAACCGTGTATAGTAAAAGTCATTTTATTTATTTTTTGAGATTTAAATTATAAATTAGTTTATTATATAGACATATATTACTTATGAGAAAAATAAAAAGAAAAGATGCAAAGGTGAGTCAATTATATTAAGCAACTGTCTCTGACATAAGCATTGATCACAATAATAGACACTCTCTCTGTGCAGCAGGGTGCCCTGCCCATCAACATGATTTTAATTACTACTACAGTACTTAACGCGGCTTCCAGAAAAATAAAAAAAAANAAAGTCATTTTATTTATTTTTTGAGATTTAAATTATAAATTAGTTTATTATATAGATATATATTACTTATGAGAAAAGTAAAAAGAAAAGATGCAAAGGTGAGTCAATTATATTAGGCAACTGTCTCTGACATAAGCATTGATCACAATAATAGACACTCTCTCTGTGCAGCAGGGTGCCCTGCCCATCATCATGATTTTGATTACTACTACAGTACTTAACGCGGCTTCCAGAAAAATAAAAAAAAAAAAGAAAATGAATTTAACTAGTCTGCAAAGGAAGACTCAAACTCAATTCAACTATTAAAACAAAGAACCTAACCATTCCCATTGTTTTGTCTGGACTATGGTTTACTCTGAGCTCTGTCTTGAAGAGTTTACAGTACTCTCTTCATTTTAAACGATTGAAAAGTATGAAGTGTGTTTTTTTTGCCGTGGCTGCAACTCAAAAATATATTGTACATAACGTGACAATATGTTATCATTAATTCGTGGTGTTATTAATTAATAAAAACATAACAAATAAGTAAGTGAATTTTACATGTTATAATNTGTTTTGTCTGGACTATGGTTTACTCTGAGCTCTGTCTTGAAGAGTTTACAGTACTGTCTTCATTTTAAACGATTGAAAAGTATGAAGTGTGTTTTTTTTTTCCGTGGCTGCAACTCAAAAATATATTGGACATAACGTGACAATATGTTATCATTAATTCGTGGTGTTATTAATTAATAAAAACATAACAAATAAGTAAGTGAATTTCATATGTTATAGTNGCGGTGGGTGTGATGGTGAGACGGTTTCAAACATTACCTTTTTTTTTTAAAGTATTTATGAAAAATAATTTCTAAAAATAATTTTAAAAAGTCAATTCAAACACACTTTTAAGGACCTATTTTTCCTATTAAATTTAGGGTGTTAATATTATCCGTTAGATTAAGTTTAAAGTAAAATTTAAAGCGATCTCAACCGTGTATAGTAAAAGTCATTTTATTTATTTTTTGAGATTTAAATTATAAATTAGTTTATTATATAGATATATATTACTTATGAGAAAAGTAAAAAGAAAAGATGCAAAGGTGAGTCAATTATATTAGGCAACTGTCTCTGACATAAGCATTGATCACAATAATAGACACTCTCTCTGTGCAGCAGGGTGCCCTGCCCATCATCATGATTTTGATTACTACTACAGTACTTAACGCGGCTTCCAGAAAAATAAAAAAGAAAAGAAAATGAATTTAACTAGTCTGCAAAGGAAGACTCAAACTCAATTCAACTATTAAAACAAAGAACCTAACCATTCCCATTGTTTTGTCTGGACTATGGTTTACTCTGAGCTCTGTCTTGAAGAGTTTACAGTACTCTCTTCATTTTAAACGATTGAAAAGTATGAAGTGTGTTTTTTTTTTCCGTGGCTGCAACTCAAAAATATATTGGACATAACGTGACAATATGTTATCATTAATTCGTGGTGTTATTAATTAATAAAAACATAACAAATAAGTAAGTGAATTTCATATGTTATAGTAATCATCTTATTTCATTTAATAACCATCAAAGTAAAGTTCACCTTACACATATATAGGTTTATCATTAAATAATAACACCCTAGGTATTAATGATGACATAGGATTACCGTTCCACTAACCAAGAATCAAACGGTTCATACCACTCCGTTGTGGGTGTCATGTGAACGTGTATACTTGTTGGTCGAGCAGCTAATTTGTTTTGTAACGTACAAATTGGGCTTAGCCCCAAGCCACTGCAATTTAATTGTACCTGCAGGCAAAGGTTATTGGGCTGAGCCCAATCCATAGCCTATACTCTCTCTCTCTCTCTCTCTCTCGTTGAGGTATTTCATCAAACAGAGGGATCGAAGGAAAAAGAGTTCCATTTACCGTCAGAACTACAACCAAACTTCCTAATAAACTTGTGAAACCTAAGAAGGGAGGAGTTGAAAAAAGAATGGGATACGTACTTAGGGTGAGGTTTGCGTCATTTTTCGCCGGGGCTGCGGTGGCGTCAGCGGTGGGGCTATACATGCTTCACAAGGATTACAAGACCGCCAATCAAGCCATCTCTCAACAGGTCTACTTATATTGTGTTATCCGTATTTTTGGACATTCTATAGAACACTTGGTGTTTCTTGCATCTATTATTGATTTAATCGGTCGTTACGTCAGTCACATGATTCTTTTGGGTTGCTTTTTAATTTCGTCTCTTTTGTTTTCAAATTTTCGATTTCATAGTTGAACGCCTGGAAGTCTCGGTATTATTTAGTAACCTTGCTAGTTAATGGCCATTGATTCCTATAATAATAGGTCTGATTTCTTTGGAAACCCTAGTCGTTAGTAGTCATTCATTAACTTCCAATGAAAATAGTTTTTGAGCATTTGGGAAATGTAAAGGGGTAGGGTAGTTTGCACTTGGAAATTGAATTCTCTGAATCATGCTTGACTTCTAGTTAGTCATGTGTAGGATGGTAAGTCTCATCATTACAGAAGAAATGGGAAACCATATACAAAACGTCCTGCCATGGGACCTAACCTTGATAAATTCAATTTGCTTAGATTCCAGCTCGCAGAATTTTCAAAAGTATGTAATTGAACAAGCTCATGAACTAAATTCTTGCCTCCTAGGCGTTTTTTCTTCAAACAACCTTGGAGAATTTTTTAGCTTCTTGATTTTTTACCGTACAGAAGGTGGACTTCATGATCTGGGGGAACTGAGGACACTAATTGACAATAGCAAAGGCATCATCTATGAAGATAACAATTATCAGACAATCAAAGTACTTTATATGAAGGAAGAATGACAAGATACACAGTAAAAGAGGTATTTAGAAAAGAATTCCATTTTGCATATACATGTAAAAATTATATAAAATAAAGAGAGAGAGAGAGAGAGAGAGAGAGAGAGAGAGANCCTATACTCTCTCTCTCTCTCTCTCTCTCGTTGAGGTATTTCATCAAACAGAGGGATCGAAGGAAAAAGAGTTCCATTTACCGTCAGAACTACAACCAAACTTCCTAATAAACTTGTGAAACCTAAGAAGGGAGGAGTTGAAAAAAGAATGGGATACGTACTTAGGGTGAGGTTTGCGTCATTTTTCGCCGGGGCTGCGGTGGCGTCAGCGGTGGGGCTATACATGCTTCACAAGGATTACAAGACCGCCAATCAAGCCATCTCTCAACAGGTCTACTTATATTGTGTTATCCGTATTTTTGGACATTCTATAGAACACTTGGTGTTTCTTGCATCTATTATTGATTTAATCGGTCGTTACGTCAGTCACATGATTCTTTTGGGTTGCTTTTTAATTTCGTCTCTTTTGTTTTCAAATTTTCGATTTCATAGTTGAACGCCTGGAAGTCTCGGTATTATTTAGTAACCTTGCTAGTTAATGGCCATTGATTCCTATAATAATAGGTCTGATTTCTTTGGAAACCCTAGTCGTTAGTAGTCATTCATTAACTTCCAATGAAAATAGTTTTTGAGCATTTGGGAAATGTAAAGGGGTAGGGTAGTTTGCACTTGGAAATTGAATTCTCTGAATCATGCTTGACTTCTAGTTAGTCATGTGTAGGATGGTAAGTCTCATCATTACAGAAGAAATGGGAAACCATATACAAAACGTCCTGCCATGGGACCTAACCTTGATAAATTCAATTTGCTTAGATTCCAGCTCGCAGAATTTTCAAAAGTATGTAATTGAACAAGCTCATGAACTAAATTCTTGCCTCCTAGGCGTTTTTTCTTCAAACAACCTTGGAGAATTTTTTAGCTTCTTGATTTTTTACCGTACAGAAGGTGGGCTTCATGATCTGGGGGAACTGAGGACACTAATTGACAATAGCAAAGGCATCATCTATGAAGATAACAATTATCAGACAATCAAAGTACTTTATATGAAGGAAGAATGACAAGATACACAGTAAAAGAGGCATTTAGAAAAGAATTCCATTTTGCATATACATGTAAAAATTATATAAAATAAAGAGAGAGAGAGAGAGAGAGAGAGAGAGAGAGAGAGATATTAGAGTAGAAGTTGTGCCCGAAAAAGTGTAAGAGGATGGGGTTATGTTGGCCGATGACCGATGACCTCCAACTCCACGAGTGAAATTTTATCTTCAACCTAAAATACAAAAGTATTGTCGATCCTCGTGATTATGCGTAAAACCTTAACCTTGTCTTATAACTTCAAAACTAAAGCAAGTAGAGCTAACTTTCTCAGAATGTAGAATTCAAATTAAGGGCTCATTTGAAATGTTAATTCTAGAATGCATTCCTGCTAATTCATTTCTTGTAGTCTTCGTCATCCCCAACTTTCGTTTTAGATGCAAGGCAGTTTAATTTGTGCTTTATTAAGAAAGCAAGCTGTAGTCGCATCTGTTTGTAACTTGTAGATGGAGTTTTTTTGCCCGCAAGATTCTATGCTATTGGGCAACAGACCCTTGTCCTTCTGTTCTTAAGTTGGAGATGGGATTTCCTCCCACAAGGGACTGTACCAATTGATCCCTTCCCTACGCAACCTCAATGGCAACTATCAACTTTCACAGATTCTATACTTATACATGTGAAATGGGAAAATAAAAATAGATTCTTGTTCCTAACACTCCTACAATGCATCTTGGCTGAAAAATAGACGATAAAGAGGATAATGTAAAATCAGTTGGCAAGAGGTCATCCCATATGGTGGTTCCAACTTTCAAGTTGCACTTTTATTGAAAAAAGACTACAAAGAGATTATTTTGTAGTTTATTAAATATCCTGGCATATAATGGTGATAATTGATATGGAATAAGTAGACAGATAAAGACTTGATTAAGATTGCTTGTTATGCAATTGATGAACTGACAAAAAATTTCCTTATGGATTAGGATTCCAGTTAGGAGAAGGTTGTAACATGAACAGTTGGTGGCTCTAATGGCCCTTTCATAAATTATATTATGCTTTAATAAACATTAAAGTAGCAGTATGGTTTTGAAAATCACCCTTTTTATCAAGTACCTGGTGTTGCTTTTACTGTATTTATATATGTAATACTGAATTTTGACTGTATGATTGGGTTTGGTTGGAACTGAAGTTCCTTCAACTTATTAGGCCCTTAATAAATCTTATGAAGTCGTTACATATGATGGCAAAAATAATAAAATTACACCACTCACTAACAGCACACTCAACTTAACTGAAAGCAGCCTTGTACAGGCATTCAATGCCAACGAGATAAAGTCAGAATCCTCAGAATATTACTTATTTGATCTGAGTGTGCGAATTATGTAATCCAGTACAATCGGTCTTTAGTTGTTGTTTGACAACCTGGTTTTTTTTTTTTTCTTGATTTATTGCCTTGAAAAACTATTGTAGACATTTCATCTGTAGATAATTGAAATTTATGAACTTGGCATCCTTCTGTATTTTAGATGAATGGCCTTTATGAATCTCTGGATGGACGCATCTCAGCACTCGAGAAATTGAGAGAAGCTGAAGTGGTGAAACATGTGGAGGCTACAGAATGAAGTTGCTAAGCCATGATGCTAGTATGGTTAGAGTTGGTGGCTCTATGTGCTTTGTCCCTGTTTGTGATATATGCAGTTTTTGTTTCTGGTGCTAGTCACAACTTCGCCGGTCTGATATGTTGTGCTCACTGACAGCCTCTTCTGCCTCTTTTTTTTTTTTTTTATTGGATGAGAAACAATCTTCGTAGTGATTAGTCATGTTTCTGAAATTTTATGGTGTTATGGAATGAAACCGACTGGTCAATCAAACCAGAGACACCCAAGTCATTCCTTTGGTAGAATAGACTTTACTAAAGAATTTGCATTTTTCTGTAATGTGCAATCTGCCCTTGGGTTACAGATGCTCTTTTCAACCTATTCATAAAGAAAAGATTTTACGGGAAGGAAATTCTCACTTTGCTGCAAATATTGACTTTTTCAGCCGTAATAACAGAGGATTGTCTGTTCAAGGTTCCGTTTCACTTGTTGTAGTTGTGGTTCTTTCAGAGTGGCGTGAACACCGTAGAAAACACTGGTCGTTGCTTCAGTGGGTCGATTAAGCTTGCAATTGTTGTATTGTGTGCCATTTTCCTCCTTTTTCCTGTTTTCTTTTATGTCTGTGTGTGTGTGTGTGTCTNGTCGTTGCTTCAGTGGGTCGATTAAGCTTGCAATTGTTGTATTGTGCCATTTTTCTCCTTTTTCCTGTTTTCTTTTATGTCTGTGTGTGTGTATAAGGGGGGAAAGTGTTATCCACAAGCAAGACGCCACCTGGCATAGAGCATTGTTTATGATAACGAAAGTCTTACGGCCGAGGGTGGGTTTTACATCTCGTATGGCCTGGCCTGCCTAGCTTACCACTGACTCAAGCGTGGCATCTATTCCAGCCCCATGTCCATTTTCGGATAACGGGTCCGCCAAACAGCAACCCTGGAATTCCTAATTTGCCACTCATGGCGAGGAATCGAAGGAAATTAAGCTTAAAAAATGCCATAAAGACGGGGTTACTGTCGTCATTCGACAAATAAAAAAAGCAATTTGTATATTGCAAGAAAAGTTTAGAGGCTAAAAATCTCCTTGTGGATATGGCTCGCGTATGGCCATAATTTTGTTTTATGAAACATGAAACGAAGCTGATCACCAACCATCTGTATCTTTGGGATTTTCTAGGACCGTCTTGTACTGCAAAAGTTGCATCCACAGAATATGGACTGCTATAAAGGGTAAATATAACAAAAGAAAGCTAAAACTAGATACTCTCTGTCTTCGTATGTTCCTACTCTTTTTAAGTCTTTCCTAAGGTTAGCATATACATCTCTGAATATTATAATTTGATAACAAGTATTGTGGTAAATTCATGGTGGTTATAAGCTTCCAAGCAGTCCACTACCCAGCTCTGAATTACTGTTGTTTACAAAGACGAAGAATTGGCGGTAACATTATCCAGTGTGGAATTGCCGAGCCATCAGGAGAGCCGGCGCCTTTGGGGCAGAAGACAAAGTACAATGATGGGTTAATTGAGAAGGCATTCATGACTCTGTTTGCCCGTAAGATGGAGAAATTTTCGGCTAATTCCAATAAAGCAGCTGGGGCAGAAGTCAATAAGAAGAAAGGTTTGTTTGATTACGATTATGAGAGCTTTGTGGACGTGTCAAAGAGAGTAATGCAAGGAAGGTCTCGTGTGCAGCAGCAGCAAGCGGTTCGAGAGGTGCTCTTGTCTATGCTGCCTCCTGGTGCCCCTGCTCAGGTAGATCTTCTTCACCTCTCTCTTTGTTTTTAATTTTTATTTGTTGTTAAATACTACCCTTCGTTCANAGATCTTCTTCACCTCTCTCTTTGTTTTTAATTTTTATTTGTTGTTAAATACTACCTTATTATACCCTTCGTTCAAAAAAACAAGAAGGGAAAGAAAAATTTCAATATGTTATGCTGGCTATGGGGTTCGAACCCATGCGCACTTGTGTGCAGAAGATCTTAAGTCGTCCCCCTTAACCTCTCGGGCAAACCAGCTCTTCTTTGTGTTTCCTTTGAAACTGTCAATAGAATGTCATTTGGGTACATTTTTGCCAATATACACATGCTGCTTTCAAATTCTTGTGTTGGGGCCTAACTTTTGCTTTCTTCAGTGCCCTTAACTAACTCTGGATTAAAATATCAGGATTTAGTGCAAAATAGCCTTAATATAAGCTTATACATTTCAATTGTTGTTGCAGTTTAGGAAGTTGTTTCCTCCCACTAAGTGGGCTGCTGAATTTAATGCTGCATTGACAGTGCCTTTCTTCCACTGGTTAGTTGGACCTTCAGAGGTACAGATATAGATCTCATGTTTAGCCCATTGTCTTCAATACATTTATGCCTTGTTAATTAGGAAGTGGGTGCAGGCAGTGTCACAAAACTTTCAGTTTGCACAGTTATACTAACTTATGGGCATCCAGTAGGTAGTGGAAGTAGAGCTAAATGGGGTGAAGCAAAGAAGTGGAGTCCACATAAAGAAATGCAGGTAAAGTTTGTTTTCGGTCACTTCAAATTCAACCTAAAAATGGAATAACTGGCTTTGTGTGCACTATGATATCATTATGTGAAACAAACTGGAAAAAGGCTATGAGTTTTCACAATTTTTATCCTTCGAAATAATGTTCAGACACTGATCCGGANGATTTAGTGCAAAATAGCCTTAATATAAGCTTATACATTTCAATTGTTGTTGCAGTTTAGGAAGTTGTTTCCTCCCACTAAGTGGGCTGCTGAATTTAATGCTGCATTGACAGTGCCTTTCTTCCACTGGTTAGTTGGACCTTCAGAGGTACAGATATAGATCTCATGTTTAGCCCATTGTCTTCAATACATTTATGCCTTGTTAATTAGGAAGTGGGTGCAGGCAGTGTCACAAAACTTTCAGTTTGCACAGTTATACTAACTTATGGGCATCCAGTAGGTAGTGGAAGTAGAGCTAAATGGGGTGAAGCAAAGAAGTGGAGTCCACATAAAGAAATGCAGGTAAAGTTTGTTTTCGGTCACTTCAAATTCAACCTAAAAATGGAATAACTGGCTTTGTGTGCACTATGATATCATTATGCGAAACAAACTGGAAAAATGGATATATATATATATATGTATGATTGCAAACTACTATTTTGAATCTAAAATGCTACTATTGAAAATTTGTCTTCAAGTTTTCATTCATCTTTCATCTTTTCAGCAACCCAAAGGCTATGAGTTTTCACAATTTTTATCCTTCGAAATAATGTTCAGACACTGATCCGGAACTTTTGACAATTTTTTGCCAAGGTACCTGGAGAACAGTGGGTGTGTAGGAATGTGTGTGAATATGTGCAAAATTCCTACTCAAGATTTTTTCACCAATGAATTTGGGCTGCCACTGACTATGATACCAAGTATGACCCCATTCTCTTATGTTATATGCCCAATTTTCAGATTTTGTGCTAAAATTTCAAGATTATGAATCATATTGCCTGTGTCCCTGTGCAGATTTTGAAGATATGAGTTGTGAAATGGTGTACGGCCAAGTTCCACCACCATTTGAAGAGGACCCAGTGGCTAAACAACCATGCTTTGCGGATATTTGTAAGTTTTTTGGAATTCCATAATTAAGCTGTGGAGGATCTCCGGCTTTCTAACTATCTAACTCCCTGCATGCAGGCTCCCTGGCAAATCCTAGTTCCAGTGTGTGTCATAAACTACAAGCTTGAGAAGATGATTCTGTTCTGCAAGATTCATGGTAGCAGCAATTAAGTGCGTGTTCTCTGCTTTGAAGTTCATTTGCCATTGCCAGATCCATGTAGTCATGTACATTATGGTAACTAGTCAACAGCTCTCAAGGATGCTGAAACGTTTGCAGACCATAAATTTGCTCTATTTAGCAAATTCTGCATCGCATAAATCTGATACAATTGCATGACAAATCTTCTAGAGATTTTAGGATTTCTCTTATGGAAAGAATCATTATGAGATATGTAAACAATATTAATTAACAGTCGGTTGTGTTCTGAACCCTTGTGTTACTACTGATAACTCTGCTCTCATCATGGATCAGCAAGATGAATGTATGATATGAGTTGGCATTTGAAGACATCATAAACAATAAATTTCATACAATTTGGAGAAAAGTGGATGATATGTGTGATTTTATGTAGCAGTAACTCAATTGATTGACTCGACTATTGCATCAAATTTTGCCTGGGATTGGAATCACACTTAATGTCAGAAAAAAGCTTGAAAAATCATGCTCATGGGAAATTAAGGATTGACTTTTTGAACATTCTTTCCAAAACGTAGCAATATGATTGACAGTAGAAAAAAAGGATGAAANTTGACTTTTTGAACATTCTTTCCAAAACGTAGCAATATGATTGACAGTAGAAAAAAGGATGATGCTCAGTGGGGTGGGGTGGAGTGGAACTCCGAAATTAATCCAGCACAACCCAACAGAACAGTTGAAGCTACCATTCAATTGATCCAGTCTTCTTCCTTCACATCGCACTCGCAGCTCAACCAACAAAAATTTCATGGCTATACCTCGCCAAATTTTCTATCTCCTCCTCCTCCTCATCTTCCTCTCTACCCCTTCTCTTTCACATTCGCAGTGATTCGATTCTTTGAGATCCGATCCGACGACAGCCCCATGATCCCCTTCGACCAATTCGGATCCACACACAAAGGCCGTTTGGAACTCAACGTCTCTAAGATCTCTCTCTCCAACCCTAGCCCCCGTGACCTCTCTAGAGTCAGCTTCTTCCTCTGCACCAGAGATTCATGGATGCACGTGCTCGAACAAATCGAGGACGCCGAGATCACCTGCGCTCTCCAATCCGACCTTATCAAACAAGTCTACGGTTTTCAATCTCTCACCGGCGGAAACAAAAGCTTCGAAATGGCTTATACGCAGACCGACGCCCATCAGTACACTCTCGTCTTGGCTAATTGCCTTCCACAACTGAAAGTCTCCATGAACGTCCGATCTGCCATGTACAATCTTGACAGCATGTGCAATAGTAGCGATTACTCATCCGCAGGCAAAACAATACTGCCTAGGGTTTGTTTACTTTCTATTTTCTCTCGTCTATTTCAGTTTAGCCGGTGTTTGGATGTACGTTTTATACAAGAAGCATTTAACTGGGTTCCAAATTCATTTCTTCATGCTTGCGGTGGTAATCTTGAAAGCTTCGAATTTACTCTGCGAGGCCGAGGATAAATCGTATATTAAGAGAACCGGTAGTGCTCATGGCCGGGATGTGTTGTTCTATATATTCAGTTTTTTCAAGGGAATTACTTTGTTTACTTTGATTGTGTTGATCAGGACAGGTTGGTCGTTTTTGAAACCATATTTGCAGGATTAAGAGAAAAAGGTTCTGATGATTGTGATTCCCCTTCAGGTGATTGCCAATATAGCTCAAGTTGTAATTGATGAGAATGTACCGTATTGGAAACAAAGTGCTTTTGCTAGTTGATGTTGTTTGTTGCTGTGCAGTTTTGTTTCCAATTATTTGGTCGATTAGGATTTTGCCTGAGGCTGCCAACACTGATGGCAAAGAAGCAGTGAATTTGATGAAACTGACTACTCTGTTCAGGCGGTATTATATTGTGGTTATTTGCTACATTTACTTCACGCGTGTTGTGGTTTATGCGTTGGAGACAATTACCTCGTATAGGTATCTTTGGACTTGAGTGGTGGCCAGGGAGTTGGCCACACTTGCTTTCTATGTGTTTACGGGTTATAGGTTCAAGCCTGAGGCTCACAATCCATATTTCACGATTGATGATGAAGAGGAGGAAGCTACAGCTGAACAAATGAAACTGGAAGACGAGTTTGAATTGTAATTTGTTTTTAACCATTCATGAAGTAGTGATCTGGCCAGACTTCAATCTGGGTTTTCCAGATCATTTTAATTGGTATCTTTCTATTTCTCTGACTCTCTGATTTATCTGTGCATATTGTAACTGAGCCATGAGTATAAATTTCTAACGTCTCTATGAATTACCTGGTTTTGTAAGTGTGGATGCGGAATCTTTTTGCTTAACTTTTCAGGAATCTATGTGCTTTATTTTCTCGTCAATATTGTTTATTAGGAATTTATGGTGGCTATTATTAGCATTGAGAAATATGCTAGCAACCTACATGTCAGAATAGCAGTGTGCACAATGTATCTGAAACTTTTGTGTCAAATTGCATTTCCATACTTACGAACATGATGAACTTGAAATTAACTGGACCAGGCTCAATGAATCAAGAAAGGCTCNTAGCAGTGTGCACAATGTATCTGAAACTTTTGTGTCAAATTGCATTTCCATACTTATGAACATGATGAACTTGAAATTAACTGGACCAGGCTCAATGAATCAAGAAAGGCCCACGTCATCTCGGAGCTCAAGTCAACAAGTTAAGGAAGAGCCCAAGTTAAGGGAAGCCAAAGTCAAATAGGAGTTCAAGGGGGACACCGTCAAGGGGCGCCGCCCAAGAGGGCCACCCCAAGGGGATCCCTTTCCATCTTTGTCCCATGCTCCCTCTCTTGCGCAACATCGTGAAATCTTTTGCTCTCTTGACTCTTGTCCAACACCCTCCAACTCAAGTCCAAGCCCAGGNATCCCTTTCCATCTTTGTCCCATGCTCCCTCTCTTGCGCAACATCGTGAAATCTTTCGCTCTCTTGACTCTTGTCCAACACCCTCCAACTCAAGTCCAAGCCCAAGATCGTCCTCCGATGGAATAGGAGCACGAGGAGAGAATATCAGGTTATGCACGGAGATCTAATCCTACCATAACTGTACTTACTAAAAAGTAGTGACTGCCTTATTGTCTCACCAAACCTATATAATGTAACCCTTCCTCACATAAAGGGCATGACCTTTGAGATCTCTCTACACACCAAGTCTCCCTCTCTCTCTCCCAAAGTACTGTAATTCTCCCAGAGTATACTCTCTCAGTGACTTTTATTCATCAATAAAGATCTCCGACCACCGCTGTCGTTCCTGAGAGTGAAGTAAGTCATCCAGACCAAACCACTATAACTCTTGGTGTTGATTCCTTGTTTACAATTTTGCCATTGATTGTCTATTTAGTGCTCATTAATTGTGTCTCTTGATATACTTGATTGTTAATTTTGTGCAAAATCAATTTGTGCGTCATTAGTTTGGCGTCGTCTGTGGGAACGATTAGTTTTCTACTCTTTTTCAATCTATGACAATCACTACTAGATCAATGAGTCAATAACCAAAAAGACAACAACCCAGNAATTTGTGCATCATTAGTTTGGCGTCGTCTGTGGGAACGATTAGTTTTTTACTCTTTTTCAATCTATGACAATCACTACTAGATCAATGAGTCAATAACCAAAAGACAACAACCCGGCCCACCGTGAGGAGGCTCTGCCTCCCCTCATGCCCTCGGAACCATTTACTACTACGACTTGACAACAGCAACAACTTCTACAGACTATGCAACTGCTGGTAAAACAGAACCAACAGATCATTCAGTTGATGCTTGTTCAGGGAGGCACCACCCCTCACACTGTAGGAGGAGCCCCACTCCTTCTAACAGGAGAGGAGCAACAACCCATCCTTTCTGGAGCGCCAAGCAATCCCCCACCATGGGCCCCTCGCCAGAATGCCACAAGGCCACACTAGGGCGCCCCTCGCTCAACAGTCCCTCCTCAGCGCGCAGGGAGCTCTCATGTACCCTCTCTGCATGTACCTGCACATGAGAACGAAGATGGAGAAAGCCAATATGGAGACCATGAAAGCCAGTAGCACCACCCGACTGAGAAAGTCCCCGATTAGTGGGACGAGAAGATCAGAAAACTGCAAAATTAACTTGGTTATACCCTCAACTCCATCAAGGCACAAGCTCTTGAGACTGTGGATTACCTGGTAAGACGCACCGATACACCCTTTGTCACTGATATAGTCAATAATCCCTTACCCTCAAAGTTCAAAATACTTGTCATCGAGATCTTTGACGGTACCAAAGACCCCCTCAACCACCTAGACACCTACAAATCCCTCATGCAACTCCACAACGTGTCTGAGGAGATTATGTGTAGAGCTTTTTCTACCACCCTTAAAGGATCCGCATGCCAATGATTTGCAAAAATCAAGCCCTCTTCAATTCACTCCTTCGCAGAGTTGAGTAAATTATTCGTCTCCCACTTTATTGGGAGACGCTGACATCAGAAATCAGTGATCTACCTGCTCACCATCAAGCAAGACAGGGATGAAAGCTTGAGAGACTACCTCGCCCGCTTCAGCAAGGAGGCTCCCCAGATTGAGGAGCCAGAAGATAAGGTAGCCCTGGCCACCTTTATCACTGGTCTTCGCTCCTCTAATTTCATATTCTCCGTCCTCAAGAAGCCACTCTCCAGCATGCCTGAGCTGCTGTCAAGGCACAGAAGTATATGAATACTGAGGATATCACCAAGGCCCGTCGAGGTGAATCCTCTGGAGGAGGGGAGAAGAGGAAGAACACCCGTAAGGATAAGCAAGAAGTAGAGAACAAAAGGAATAAGACAGAGAGAATCTCTATCAAGGACCGCCTTGGTCCTCTGTCTTTGAGAGCGCTGCAAGTCTTCACGCCGCTTAATGCTCCCGTGGAGTATATCATGTTCCAAATACAGGATGACCCTACAGTACGTTGGCCAGAGAAGATGAAGACTGCCCCGAATTGGAGGAGTTTGAACAATTATTACCGTATCCACCACGACCACGGCCGTGATATTGACGATTGTTTTGATCTTAAAAGGCAGATTGAGGAACTTATACAATATGGCCAGTTGAGATAGTACGTTGCTGGCAGAGGACAAGCCCAGCCACTTGGCCGAAACCAGGTCGACAGAGAACGCTAAAACCCCTCGGAGAAATCTAGACGATCTCTTGAGGCCCAAGAGGAGTTGAGTCAAACTCCAGTAAGTAAGCCTCAGCCCACCTAGGGATGCTGAACACCAGAATATTTTATCTATTCTTTACTGTTTCAGTTATTTATTTTGTTATTTATTATTTTATGAAATAAAATTTTGTGAAAATTATTATATCTAGAATTGTCTTATTTTTCTAAAATTTACAAACAACTTACAGAATATGTCCTAACAACAATGTAGACAAAAAGACAACAGTTGTCATACTCTTGGCGATTAGTCATTACTCCCCGAGCCACAATCACTATCATCCAGGCTCTCCTCGTCACCAACTATTGTTGATGCCTCATAGGGGATGAAGCCAGAAAATCAACAATGGCCCTCCAAAGCAGGTACACTCCAGGCTAGCGCCTGGGCTAGTGCCCAAGCTAACTATTGCCTACCTTCTACACGTCACCCAAGAAGGACCTCTCCACTCCCAGCACCAACGACCCTCGACGTCCTGCCCAGCGGCGCCTAGAGCCCCTTGGTGTCCGCGCCCAGCGCCCCTTGGTGTCCGCACCCAGCGGTGCCTAAAGCCCATTGGCGTCTGCGCCCAACAGCTCAGACGTCCAGCTCCTTAGCAGCCTCCTCATCTTCATCTCAATGGAAGCAGTCTCTACCACGACAACCATCTCTCGAGACTATACGTAGCTTGGCCTGAGCTTCTACGGCCCTCTTGCAAAACGTTTGCAACTATGACTCTGCTCTCGCGTAAATAGTTACCTAGTAAGCCTTTTTCATGACAGCCATCTCCCGATACTATACGTAGCTCGGCCTCAACTCCTACAGCTCTCTCGCGGGATATTTGCAGCTATGACTCTACTCTTGTGCAAGTAGTCACCTAGTAAGCCTCTGCTATGACAGTCATCTCTCGAGTTATATGTAGCTCAGCCTCAGACTTTGCTCTTGCACAAGTAGTCAGCTTATAAGTCTCTGCCACCGCACCCATCTCCCAAGTTATACGTAGCTCGGCCTCAAACTTGCTCTCGCGCAAGTAGTCACTTTGTAAGCCTTTGCTACGACAACCATCTCCAGAGTTATACATAGCTCGGCCTCAGACTCTGCTATCGCACAGGTAGTCTTTTTACAAACCTCTGTCACGGTATCCATCTCCGAAGACTATACATGGCTCGGCCTTAGCTCTGCGGCCCTCTCACGGGACGTCCACAACTTTGACTTTGCTTTCATGCAAACAGTCTGCCTCTCTCTTCANTCGCGGGATATTTGCAGCTATGACTCTACTCTTGTGCAAGTAGTCACCTAGTAAGCCTCTGCTATGACAGTCATCTCTCGAGTTATATGTAGCTCAGCCTCAGACTTTGCTCTTGCACAAGTAGTCAGCTTATAAGTCTCTGCCACCACACCCATCTCCCAAGTTATACGTAGCTCGGCCTCAAACTTGCTCTCGCGCAAGTAGTCACTTTGTAAGCCTTTGCTACGACAACCATCTCCAGAGTTATACGTAGCTCGGCCTCAGACTCTGCTATCGCACAGGTAGTCTTTTTACAAACCTCTGTCACGGTAGCCATCTCCGAAGACTATACATAGCTCGGCCTTAGCTCTGCGGCCCTCTCACGGGACGTCCACAACTTTGACTTTTCTTTCATGCAAACAGTCTGCCTCTCTCTTCAGGTAATCATGTTAGATATTTTAATATTGGAATAACATTATTTTTTTCAGGCATACTTTTGAATCTTAGGTTGTCTACAACCCCGTGGGACTATATTAGATTGACACCAAGTCACTACTTGAAGCAGAGGGTAGCTAGGTGAAGCTACAATCCCTGTAAAAATTGCATCGGAGTCTCAACTCCTACAGTGGTATAAGGGCTAACTCTAGTATAAACATAAGTCCGAGTCTGGGAAGAAGTGGGGGCACCATTGGATCCCATCTACTAGAAAGCAACCTAGTCATCGAACGTGAGCCGAAAAGTACTAGGGGCATCAAACCTCACCCTCTTGAGAAGAGGAAAAGACACCACCCTAAAAGCAGAGAGAGTCTCCAGATCAACAGGGCGCTTATAATTAGA